TGATGGTAAAAAGTAGTGTACATACAATTGGAAGGATACCTCAGTCAGAAGAGTGAAGGCGAAAGCTTTCAAACATTTATTTCCCTTCTCGTAACAATTCAAACTACAAAAATTTGGACCGAGCAATAGTTGAGCAAGAAAATTTAGATATTTTCGCTATTTCTAATTTTGATTTATATTCCTGAAAAATAAGAATTCGAACCCTTCGAAGTAAAGAACTGAATCTCGGACTCTAATGGTGGTTCTTCAAGCTCCAGAAGTCTCTTTAATGAAATTTGCTTAACCCCTGACATAAAGGAATCATCACCCCTGCTCAAAACCCTACCTAAAATCACGTACAACAAAACCAATATAGTCATAGGGATAAATTATTTTGCTTGTCAAGAAAAACATTTTCTATTTAAATCCACACTATATTCTCTTTGTTAATCCTTTAAAGTATTCATAAATACTGTACATATATACAAAGCAACTGAAAGCAATTGCTATTTTGATACAATTTTATCGTTACTATTTTGTTGATATTCACACCTCGCAAACGCTGAATGTTTTTGTTTGTAATAAAAGGTTTACCGAAAATTTACACTAACAAAATGGAAGCGGAAAAAAATATTCAGAAATATTCCCAGTGAATATTTCTCCATGTACACATACACGTATACGTATTTAGTGGGGGTGAAAAGTGCGGTATAAAGTGATGGGCTCACAAAATATTCATATCGCCTACGTGCAAATCACTAACAAATTGTAAAAGGACCAAGAAATAAAGACAAAAAAATAAATACATATGTGTACATATGTGTATATATATATATAAATGAAAATATTTACTAAAAATAACATGTGATATTGGTAAATAATACGTGAAGCAAAGGATATGCGTATTTATAAGTATTTATATATTTATATAAGTCTATATATAAACACACTACCCGTAAAGTAAAGAGTTTTTTGTAGTAAAAAGTAAAGTAAAACAAAAAAGAAGTGCTGTCGTCAGCCATGCCAAAGTCTTTATGCCTTTCATGAACTTAAAAAAAAATATTATAAAATGCGCAATTCGATATCGACGATTTTCAGCATCTCTGCCTAAAACTAATTTCAAAATATGGGTGTTTTTTTTTAGACATATGGTTTTCAAGAAGACATAAAATGAAAGAATTCAATGTTATGGCCAAGAGTTTCGCTTTATTATAAAAAAAAATATTTGCCATTATGTCTCGATCAAATCAAAATCCAGCCGAGAAGCCCAAATTTCAACCACGACAAGGCGTCAATCGTCCAAAGATTATCCTAGTTCAGCGGTGTTAAATCGAACAATCTTGGATACCTTACCACAGCTTAACGTGACCATGACGTCCTACGACGTTAGATGATGTGCTCACCCAAAAAAAGGATCCCGGGAGCGAAAGGAACAAACTGACAAATTTTCAAAATAATTCACTGACTAATTTTGGAGATCAAAGGGAAATGAAAACAATGATTTTTATATCAATGAAAGAATATAAGTGGGTGAATGCGTTTTACCTATGAATTAATTGGAACTTCATCTATATGGTGTGTGCCTGCTTCCGTTCACTTTTCGTAGGGTAAAGGTATCATGAGAATAGGTACCCATCAAAACAGCTAAAAGGGTGCAAGTCAGGTTTTTTCAACTGCATATACTGGCAGAAACCCACATTCCTAGCTCTTAGCAGCCTTTTTGACAAATGTATGACCTAAAACCTCAAATCTGGACAAATCGGCTATATATATTATACATGAATGTTATAATGGTCCCATCTGTCCAGTTTCGACAAAAGATTGCTTAAATATACAAATTTATCTATGTAGCACAGAGAGACTAATTTGTGTACAAACGGACAGCCAGACGGATAGACGAACATAAATAAACTCAATTTGTCTTTCTGATGATATCCGTTTGATATCAGTTTGATATTTAGCTCTTCTCTCAAAAGCGGCCGCGGTAGCCGAGTAGTAAGCATTGCTTACATTTTACATTCGGAAAGCTCGGGTTCATATCCCCGTGCGATCAACATCCAAAAGTTATAGAAAATTTATTTAAATAAAAAATTTTTAAGTTAAAATTTTCCGATTGTGGTCGCCCCTCGGCAGGGAATATCCAGCCCTCCAAGTATATTTATGACATGATATAAGAGCTTCTCATAAAAAGACTATCTTAAGCGGCTTAGTGTAAACTGTTGGAAAAACATCAAGAAGAAAAAACAAATTGGAGCAGGAGCAGGGCCGAAAATCGTGCATAAAAGATATAACAAAAATAAAAAAGTTTGAAAAATGTTACTTTCAAGGCGTATAAAAGGTGAAAAGATATGTATGTTTGTATGTATCTTCAGACGATTTGTAAATTCAACTATAAATAGCCAAATAATCATTTTATTTGTATTTTCTTCTTTTGCCTATTTTTTATTTCTTATTTTACAAACACCAACAATACTTCAGACAAACAAATATACTTTTATGCGAGCGACAAATGAAGTCGAAATTATTCATGTGTATAACTGATTAGACAGCAAAAGCAGTACAAATACAATAAAATTTGCAAACAAAAAATATTCATATATGTATATGTATATATATGTGTACATATGTACAGGTTTTTTTATGTCCAAGAACCGTACATACGTACCCTATAAAATAGTAAAGATAAGAAAAGGTATTGGTTAAAGAAAAAACTCAAGAAGAAAAGGGTTAAGGAATAATGCAGTTCTTATGGAAATCAGTTTCTCACACACAAAAGATAGATTTTCTACGTACATTTTTTTCGTTTTGAAAAGGTTTATAACACTTTCTGAGCTTAGAGCACATTCTTTCCATTTTTCTTAAAGTACGTATTCATTGCATTACTTGCTTACATTCTCAACCTCCAACAAATAAACACTGATAAGATTACAAATTCATTTTACAAAACTCCAGCCGAGAACTGATAGAATGTATTGAAATGCCATTGAAACACCTAAAAGTATGCTAAGTAAAAAGTGAAATAAGATATTGAGTGTATGTCAGTATGCCAGAAAAAATGTGTACAAAAAATTCAGACGAAGCAAACATTGAAATTTGATGGAAATTCCTACGTACTACAGAAAAATCACAAAAAAAAAATATTTCAAAAAAATACCAAATCCCAAATGATTCTCCGTATACATATACACATATATATTAGCCAACTTGACACATTTGCCTGAATTTCATTGACACAAATACATACACGTATTAGCCAGTGCTGAACTTCATCTGAATGAATATGTGTTGCCCTATTAGGATTTACACTTCATATTTCGATGCATACAGTTGCATGAAATCCAGTTTAGACTTAGCCTAGCACTTGCATACATATGTATGTATGCATGTACTTGTAGGCTTGTGTATGCCACTTTGTAACCATATAAAATTCTGTCCAGCCACTTACCACACGCAAACATTTGTTGCCCAAAATTGAGGGGTAAAAATACTGAAATGGTTTTATGTACGACTACTATATGAAAAAATATGTATGTAAGTTTGTAAATTGGAAAACGAAATTCAATTTCTTTATTCCCACATGTCGCTCATAAATCATCATCATTTCCAGCAAAAATGTTTGTTAGCAGACTACAGAGTATTGGTACACTTATTTGCATACATGCAGAGTTGCAATTGAGGAGGAGTGTGCATACATTTTATAGGGTGAGAAGAAAGTTAAAAAAAAAATTTCAAATGAAATAGTATACAACCGTAAAATGAAATTAAATTAAAAAAATATATGAAATAAAATAAAATCAAACAAAATATTATTATATTTTTATTTAAAACATTTATGAAGGCCTGTAATTTTATCTAGCTTATTAATGCACAGAGCTGCAGGTTTTGGCAGCTAGTACTCTGCTTTGTCTTAATTATAAGATTTTTTTAATTAATAATCAATTATAATAAAAAAATAAAAAGATCAAACGAGAAAAAATGGAAAGAAATTCAATAAATTCAAATAATACTAAATATTTTAAGTAAAAATATACAATTCAATTAAAATAAGCAAAAAAAAAAATTTAAATAAATATTTTTAACACAGTAATCAAATAAAATCGAATAAAATAAAATTAATTAAATAAACTAAAATAAAATAAAATAAAATAAAATAAAATAAAATTAATTAAACAAACTAAAATAAAATAAAACTAAGTAAAATAAAATCAATTAAAACCAAAGCAAAATAAATAACTAAGTAAAAATAAATTTAAATTTTAAGCAAAAATGAAAGAAAATATTTATTCGAAAATATTAAAAATAAATAAAATTGAATTCAATAAAATGGAATAAAATAAAATACAGTAATATAAAATAAAATAAAATAAAATGCGTACTTTTGTTACACTAAAAACAATAAATGTTTTATAACAAAGTATATTAAATCGAATAAAACCAAAAAACAAAATAAATAAATGAATATTAAATTAAATAATAAATAATGTTTTACAATAAAATATATAAAATAAATAAAAACTGATTTTCAAATTGTATAAAAAGTAGAATATATTCAAATAAAATAAAGTAAAAGCAAAAATTAAATATAAATTTTAACGAATATATATATAATTAAATGAAGCGAAGAAAAAAATAAAAAAAATATTTGAATGTATTAAATGCAAGTAAATTGAAATGAAAATAATAAAATAAATTATGATAAAAAATAAAATAAAATGTAAAAAATAAAACAAAATAAAAAATTAAATCATAGCAATTTGTTAATCTTCTCTCCTTTTATTTCTATTTTACATTGAAGTATGTATGTAACCATTATAACGAAGTTCCTTCTAGGCTTTGAGAATGCGCTTAGCTCCCTTTTGTTATCTCTTCCAGCATATGTGAATGGTAAGCGAATGAGTATGAATGTGGCAATATTTAAAAGTCTACACATATACATATATAGTTTCTGTTTTCGCCATGCTATTCCATCAAAAAGTGTCGAATAGAAAATAAAAGTGAAGAGGGAAATAAAAATCAGCTTCGCAATATCACATGAAAAACTTTTATATTTCAAATATTGGTGTGCTTAATATCATCCGTTTCTTCTAAGGATTACAAAGCATATCATTCACAGGAAATGGTCATTAATTCATATTTTCTTTTGGCATCTGAGCAATTTCTGAATTATGCTTGTAAGTGTGGTATAAAATTTGAGTACATGGCGTATACGCAACCTGTGAAGTAATTAAAAAATATTTAATGAATGGCCTTTGCCAGCGTAGTATATTTCTGCCATGATTATAAATAGCAACAAGCCAAGAAATTATAAACTAGCTAACTTTTGAGGTCGTTTCCGCTAAATAATTATTATTATTACTAGTTTCATTATAATAGTTTGGGCGTATAAAACTTCTATTAATGTATTCATTATCACCCACATTAGACAACATTTATGCACACACAAATCTACATAGCAAGTCTATTAAAATTTGACTATTTACATATTTACATAGTTGTTATGGCAACAATTTGACCACAGGCTGTAAGTATTTAATAAAAAGGTAAAAGTTACAAGGCCAGTTAATTTGAAAACCTTTTCATTTTGTGTTTGCGATTTATGTAAGCAGATGTGTGAGTGCCGTAATAAAACTCTCCGTCCTACGCACAATCATAAAATTGCCAGTCTTAAAGCGAATTCTACCACATAGTCAGACGAAGTCGACCTTGTAATTTGAAGTTGTTTTAGTACACTCTTTACTGTAAGTAACTGAAGGAAAATTTAAAATAATTTTTCACACAAAATACTTAAAAAAATGCTTGGAATAAGGTTCTTCACTTTTAAGGTGCGGAAAATTTTAAAATATTTTCTATGAATTAAAATGAACTATTTTACAAGGAATTAGAGAAAATTCTCAATTTTATTTTCGGAAAATTTGCTTCAGCGATTTCAAAGCGCCAATTATATATATACATACAAAGTTGACACCAATTTTTATAAGTGTGTACCTTCTTTTCAATGAATTTTGATAAACTTTTTTTTATTATAAAATTTAAGGCTTTGAATTTTTTGCAGCTAAGTTCGAAAAACATTGTCGATCAAATGACTTTCTTTATTGCGCAAACGAAACTTCGCTTTTTTCGACTTCATCTCTATCAAACTCTTCGGTTTCATGGCATACAATTTGATTTTCAAAAAGCCTCACAAGACTAAGTCTGGTGCAGTCAAATCGGGCGATCTTTTGCTGCAAGAATTTCATCATTGACTTCGATGTGTGAGTCTCCCGTGAGTCTCGAAATTCGAAGCCAAGCGACGCATAGTGTCTCTTATAGGCGCAGCACGGCCGCGATGCTTTTTCCGACACGCACGCTGTGTTGCAACAACTGAGCGATTGCACTCAATGTACATTTTAACTTTTACCGCACGTTCTATGGGCGTAAGTCCATTGACCACATATCACATCAACAAGGATGATAGAACCGGGCCTTGACCGAAGAAAATATTCAGAAAGTTGAAAATTAGTTCTGACCGATTGAAGACTTAATTTGTGGCACATAACAGAAGGATTGCAGATTAGAAAAAAACCAACTGGAAAGAGTTTTCATGAACTTAATTTTAAGCTAATATCGAATTCAGGAATTTATTTATTATGTCACACTACTCAAGTTCTGATCCAATGGCCATTCAACACGTATCACATACAAATTCAATATTAATTTTTATTAAATATGTATGTTATCAGACATTAGCGTTGACTTTCACATATAACACTTTGTGGGTAGAAAATAAATAAATAAATGTCTCATATTACCCCTTTTTACCTTGAGCACCAGAATGCCGCTGCTGCTGCTATGTTTTCCCTGTTCATACGTTTTTTTTTTTTTTTTTTTTGTTGACTCTCAACATATTTTAATCAACAAAAAACATACCTCATCCATCAATGTGCTATAGAAAACAACAACAAAACTCTCAACAAATGTCAAGCGACTAGTGAGCGATAATAAAAATTCCAAAATTGACACCTTGCAACATAAAAGTCGCTATTCTGCTATACCAATAATGCCCCCAGCAGCAGTACAAAAGTAGATGCAGGGGAATAAAAACAAAAAAATAAAATAAAATAAAAAATAAAAAATAAAAAGTAAGCACACCAGTGATATACTGATATAACTGATGCCAAACATATTGAAATGTTCAATGAAAATGCTCGATTTAATTTATTGATATCTACAGATGTCTGCTGACAGACGTAATTATCGCGCGCAATAAAAAAAAGCGGTAACATTGAAGTGAGCAGGCGATGGAGACGGAGATGTTGGTGCTAATGACTAAACAAGGTTAGCAATCAAATGATGAACACATTATATATTTGTACCTACATACAATATATATGTATGTATCTAAAAATAACAGCAAAAGTAAAACCGATTTACATGTGTACGTGATAAGATTAAAAAAAATTGTACAAATATAAAATTGAAAACATTTTTTAATTAAATAATATATATTCTACAGAATTATGCATTTGTTTTAAATATTTACTTCTGCTTCAGAATTTTTTTATTTAATTATGTCAAAATTCATGCATGTTTTAGCAGTTTACAAGTCCCCGTTGGCCTTTAACTGCGCTTTTCAATTGAATACATGAGAATGATATTAATTCAGCCCAGTGTAGAATAACCCGTAAAGCATGTCCTTAACATTGTGAGAGCAATTAGTTCTATTACTCTTTTTATTATGCTCTTTGAGTAACGGCGCGTATATTGGGTTAAATAGCAGCAAACTGTTAAGTAACAGCAGCAAACTATTCACTCAATGTTGGAATAATAACAGGAATATTTAACTCGTTTTAACAGTTGAGTGTTTCACAAATTCCATTTAATATTGTAAAGATGTTAAAATACTAACTGTTGAGCATTTGTTATTATATATGAAGGAAATGTAAAATAAAGTCAGAGCTTCAGCTGCACTTTTCTTCCTATTAAAATAGAAAATCAAAATTTACCGCAAATGTTAATTATTTAACAAAAATCCAGATATTCAAAAGAGGCAAAATGTTGTTGTAGGAAACCGACCCTCGTGCATACTAATTAATATTCATAGCTTTGTAGCCTTTCCTATGAAAGTTGCCATCTTTTGAGAACAGATGGAACTAATTTGTACCCCCCATGCAATAGTCATAACAGATCTTGGTTGGTATCCAATGAGGAATCCTTACACTTTCCAATGGAATCAAGCTGTTGAGTATGCGCGCAACAAGAAAGCTGAGATTGATCCGAATATTGTAGACATGGTTTTTGAAACAGATACTGCAATACTTGGGTAATATGACAGTCCGGTTAGCAACAACTTTCAAAGGGACACTGTAATTAAATCGTATTCCTTCATTATGGAAAATGATCTTATATTCACGAGATGAGAGAGTTGTAGAGTCATTAGGATCGTCATGTGTTCAGTGACACATATTAGCATAAATATGAGATTCTACTGTACCGAGTATTGGACCATTAGTCTTTGAGCTGTCGCAAGCAAGCAAGCAACACCATCGGGAGAGAAAAGTGATATTGGGAAAAAAGTCGAATATCATACAATTATAAAGTTCTTTACCGAGCAAGGAAAATCAGTTGTAACCTTAATAAATGAGATGTTATTGGTTTAAAACGACCATTATGTGAAAGCGGCGCAGTTTATTTAAACAAACAAGGAGGTCCCTTTAAAACGACGCAAGACAGGGCGAGAGCACCGAAGCGACCATGCTAGAACTTATTCGAGGATGCTCGACTAAAGAGACAACAAACCGCAGAACCATATAACCATACAACCATATACTCGTATTAAAATCCTGTACGATTATCTTGACGTGACTAAGGTCAGCGCCAGATAGTTGCCGACTGCTCACACCTATGCAAAAATAAAAACCGCTTTGTGTTGGCTGTCATGGATAATGTGGATTTTGATATTTTTAATAACCCACCTTATAGTCCAGACCTGGCCCCGAGTGACTATTGCCTGTTTCTAAAAATGAAAAAAATAAACAGCTGAGAGGTAAAGAATTTATCATCGATGACGAAATCAAGAAGGCAGTCGCGGGAAATTTTGGAAATAAAGAGAAATAATTTTCTTACGTATATACCAAAATCTGTTCAAAGCTCTTATACCACTTAAAAGTCTTTAGACTAATTAGTCTATAATCAAGCTGGGCAAACTTTATGCGCATTCTAAAGGAAATTCCAAGGAAACAGCAATAAGCTCGATGGTGGTGGATATTTAAAATTCTTTTGGCCGAAAATTTGATTTATAAAAGTACTTAACTATATAAATACTGGCAAGAACAGAGTTGGTATTGTTCATTAGCTGTATTCGAGAAAGAAAGCTGCAGGAAGCTCTCGTGGAATCCTAGCTTAGAAGATGGAGTAAAGAATGCTGCTAGCACTTTGTATATATTTAAAGGGGTGATGGAGTCCAAATTCTTTGAAGATTGTTTTATCCTCCAGAGGTGAGTATGATAGAAGTGAGATAAACAAAGACACATAGATAAGTATCTATGTGGAGATATCCAAGCTAGATATATGAGGTAGGTGCGTCCCTTTTTTTTTTAGAAAACTTAGATACCGGAATCTCCTTCTGAGTACCAGATTACTGAAGAAGAAATATTACTGCACTTAAAAAAGACCTTCTGGTTCTCGCAAAGAGGTTTCTTATAACAAGAACTGCTGAAGCGATCTTCGGCCGAGCTCCTTTTCAAATTTGTGATGTGAGTCTTGATGTATTTCCAACAAATGGAGGAAACTAAGTTTATACTAAGCCGCCTCCGAACAGCTGATGGTGTTTTTTGTATTTTTTTTTTTTTTTTGGTGCCTTTACCTCATCTTATAAATACACTCGGAGGGGTTGACGCACTTGACAGGGAGGTGCGACCGCAATTGGAAAATTTAAGTTAATTTATATTTAAATTAATTTTCTATCATTTTTGAATGTTGCTCGGACCAGTACAGCTACCGCGGCCACCATACATATATGTATATTATATATATTTATATTATATATCAAGATACCCGAGATACATGAACCATTGCAATTTAAATGGAATGACTTAAGAACTCCTATAGGATTGTTGACAAGTATTGTCATCTTAGTAGACACATCAGTTGACCAAGAAAACCATACAATGATTACTGTAGAAGTTGCCAGGAAGTAGAGGAAGAGGAGAATGTAGAACATGTTCTATGCGGGTGC